CCCCCCCCCCTATAAGACTGTAACAGTAACAGTTTGTGCTCTCAAACTTCCCCAGCTAGGGAAGCTCAGCCAAATCAAACTTAACTTTGGTTTAAGTCCCCAGCCTAGGACTTAAGTGTCAGTCTTAGGATGCACAGTCACTTCAGTGGAACTACTGATCCTCCCTCAATCCAGGTCCCTTAACACCAGGTCCCTTAACACTTAGTGTAATTTTACTGAAAATTTGTATTGTGAACTCAGTATAAGAATAATTAGCACAGTGATAAAAATATGGAACCATTCTAAACCATGTAAGGAACTCTCCAAAATAGTTTGTATATAGAGGCCATATAACTATTATATCAGACCAACACAACCATCTTAACTCCACACAAGGTTTAGCACCAGGCCCTGGCACAATCCAAGTTTAACTACATCACTTTCCCTTTGCCATCTAACACCAATACCTCTGGAGCAAAGCAATGGCATGTCTTGTGTTTACTGAAATAATGGTACTACCTTGAACATTCTTTCACCTGTTTCTTGACCATCATCACTAAGCAACACACCAAAAGCTGTCAAAGTCATTAGCCAGCAACCCTCAATTTCAGGCATTATTCCATGTATTTTTACAAGCTCAAGAAATCATTGCTTCAGAATACCTTTCAGTGTCTACCATTAAGACCATTCACAATCTCGCCAACATGACTCAATGCAGCATCTGCCTTGCGTAAATCACCTTCACTCAGACTGTTCGACTTGCCGCCGCCAGGCGTGCTCGCCCCAGACATGACCGAACTTGCGCGCGACCGGACCTTCATTACGAGGGGACTAACGCCAAAGTCAGCTTCAGCCAGGCCAAAAGGATAAAGTAGGTCATACAATGGATATCCCTCGTCTTCGTCATCCGCTTGTGTCGGCCACTGGTGTCCACGATAGTCACTTGTACCCAGTGCTTGCATCTAACGCACCTCAGAAGGCATTTAGGTCCGAAAACAGCATAAACAAATCGACAACCTACCTCTTCGGTGAGCGTCCCAATGTCTCCAGGCGTTGCGATCCCGGACATTCTAAAGCGCGGACTAGCTGGAACCGAGTTGGGCATCATTCGCTCCATGCCAAAATCGAATTCCTCCTCTTCTCCCTCCCCTCCCACCCCGTAGAACGCATCAGGATATGCCCTCCTCAATGCCAATTGCCTAGCCTTCGAGTATTCAATCCCCAAGTTCTTCCAATCCAGCAATGGGCTCAATCGCTCCACTCGGTTTCGCTGATTGATGCGTTGCCGTCTTGTCTTTTGCGCGAAAGCGAACATGTGGTCAGTAAGCTGGCTCACGGAATCCTCCACGGACTGTGAACGACGATCGACGATATAGCAACCCTCATCCTGTGGTCTTTCGATCAAGTCTTGCATAAAGCACCCGAAACCGGAGAGATTCGTAGTTACAGACGGAATTCCCATCTAATACATCGAAAGTGTCAGTGCATCCCTTCGCTTCACACGTTTGAGGCGTACCACCGTGCACTCCGCGGGTGTATACCCCCAAGGCTCATAATAACTTGGAAAGACGCCAAGATGGCATCCGCGCACAAATTCCTCGTAGTCAAGTCCCAGTATAGGGTTGTTCGAATTCAAGAAATCGGGGTGAAAGATAACCTTGACACGATCGGACCCGGAATTGAAGAGCTCAACACGTCGAATCTGGTTCAGAATCGGATCAGCCACGTCATCTGCCATGTTGTGTGTTGTCACTGGGGGCAGCGCGTTGCGTTTCAGGGCGAAGATGCGTCGTTTAAGAAGAACCTTATCTTCCTCGGATAAAAGGTCGTCTGGAGTGGGTAGGGTACCGTGTTCTCTAGCAAATCGGAAACGGTGAGATAGAGTACACTCGTTTTCAATCAAACATACCCGTTAGAGCGTATAGCATGTTCAAATAGCCGAGCACCAATTCTGTTCTGAATCTCAGTCACTGTATCACGTAGCTGTTTGGTGACCGCTTGGCCTTTCAGGGCGTCGATCGTGTATGAATGGGTAGAAGCGGGCATGATAATGAAGGCAATCACAGTCGTTTTCGAGCCGGATTTCTGTAAGCGGTAGTTGAGGCCTGCTCAGAGTTTATGAGATATGTGAGGCAATACAGTCTATGGTGAAATGACGTACGAGCTAGTGCCTCAATGAACATGTCCACACCCTTGTTGCGGTATTCATATCGCCCAGCAGTGAACATCTGATGCCGGGAACATAAGCCAAAAAGGAACCTCTACAATCAACAAATGTACATACGTATAAAGTGTCATCAAGGTTGAAATCGGAATGCCCGTAGAAATGGCCTCGAACAAAATCGTGGATTTTCGCCTTAGCTGTTGCGTGCAAATTTTGGAATTCGTGCATAGCTTGAAATTTGACAACGTTTAGCCCATTGGGAAGGACGCCGTCGGGCTTTCGCTTGAGGAGATGTTCCGATTCATAAGCCGTTATATGAGAAACAGTCGTAAAGACGTCGGCGCAATGTGTTGCAGAACGTTCGATGCAGTACCTGTGATAGATTCCACGCTTGCCAGCTTCGTGGTCAACGTCGAAGTACTGAAGGTTGTTGTAGAAATCGACGCTACCGGCACAAAGATAACGACCCAGGAGAGTGGCGTGCGTAGTGAAAACGGTAGTAATATCGACATGGCGTTTGCGGCAAAGGGGAATGGCGAGGCCGGCCTGCCATTCGTGGAAATGGGCGACAACAGCAGTATCCAGTTGTCGCGCAACGTACTAGATCGGACAGGTTCAGCGGAGTAACTGATGCGCAGAGATACGACGATACCTCGCCCAGGAACCAAGCGACTATATAGCCAAAGACGATCGTCTCGTTGGTCTCATGATCGTTCGGAGGTGTCGGGATGCCGGCGAGGTTCCAGAGATCCCCCTTCCATTCGTCCAGCCTAGAATACTGGCTGCCAGTGTCAAAGAGCAAGACATGGGGAGCACCCTCGATGAGCCATCGACCGTAGAGAACTTTGACACCGGCACTGCGCATCGACTCGAGAGTGCTGGCGATGTGGGGATCGGAGGGTTCTTGGGCCTCGACTTCCATGGGGGCGGTTTTGTAGCTGAGAGGTCCAATAAGACAGTATCTGTCACCATATTCAGAGACGGTGACGGGAACCTTGGTCTTGATGACGGTGTAGATCCCGCCAACCTTGTTGGCGACCTCCCATGCGCATTCGAAGAGGATAGAGTTGCGGACGTCGCGTTTCACGTCGGACATGGCTGAAGGCGTGAAAGATTGGGTGGTGATGCAGAGGAGAGCCCAGTAGATATAGGCCGGAGACAATGGGAAGGAGAAACCAAGGTCAGGAGGAAAGAAGTGGGACAGACTAAATGGGCGACGACAAGCTGGAGGTTGTATTCAACCCGGGTGAGACGTAAATTCGGACAGCATAGGAAGATGACCTAGTACGCCCGCTCGCATCAGGACTTGTCCACACATTATCCCAGTCCAACAATGACGTCACCTACACACGTGCCTCACTCTGGCCCCGTTCCCCACGGAAAAGCGCCCAACATTTCATTGCACTTTCATTGGCTCCCGTTTTCAGCGCAAGAATCCTTCTCGCCAGGCTCGTTAGGCTAGCACGCAACCAGACGGCAGATATCACTCGCCAGACCAATAAACCTGCTCATTAATGGCAGGATATGTGGAACCTAGTCCAATTACTTAAATCTATTCTAAAATGAGTACGATGAACTAGGAACTATAACCGCCACCGTGGTAGTAAGCTGGACCGGGTGTTGGTGCGTTCTTTGAGGTATCATGTAAAGTTTTTCAGTGTACCCATCAGGGAACTCTTTGTAACGCTATGAAGCTCCGTTAGAGACGGCTCTCGTCGGGGTAGACAGTGTCTCCCAAATATAAGGCTAACAGAGCAGGCATCAGCCACCACTGAACAGAACAATACGACAGCAGTCCCTACTCAAATAGAGCCATGATGGTCCACTTCCTATTGTCAGATTCTTCGAATACTAATGATCGAGGGCCATAGAAGACCTAGTACATAAAAGTTAGCACGATCGAGTGTGGGGAGAGCTCAGCTGTGTCAATATCATACCTCATCGTCGACCTCATGAGACTTCCGAGGAAGACAGTGCATGAATTTCCAGTCGCTATTCGCCCCTCCCTCCCGGCAGAGCTGCTCCGTTATTTGATACCCTTGAAAATCCTTGATACGCTGTTCTTTCTCAGCCTCCTGACCCATAGAAATCCTACGATAGATTTCAGATTTATTAAAAGGAATCCTGTCTCGTTGGACCACGACATCTGACGAGGATTACACTCACCAGGTGTCAGTGACAACCAAATCCGCGCCTTTCACCGCTTCAAGAGGGTCTTTTGTCCATAGAATATTCTTGTCGCACCCGAGTTCTAAAACCCTATCCCAAACAGGTTTCGGAGCTCGATATCGCTCATTTTCCGGGCTGGCGATGCGCAGTTGGTGACCCAACCGAGGATACGTTACCAGCATATCATGCAATACGTTGGCAGAATCTCCAACATATGCAACCGTCAAAGGACGCAGAGGGCGCAACTTCTGCACAAGGTCGGGGGACATCATGGGGTCTGGGTGAATTGAGGTGAAGAACGCATTCTCGTGCAGGGTCAGTAAATCCGCAAGGACTTGAGTAGGATGCCAGAGAGACGAGAGGGCATTTATGACCGGGACTATTGAATGAAGGGCCAATTCCTGCACACCATAGAATTATTGATACACATTTACGAATGGATGCATAACGTACCTCGATCTCCGAATGGTCTCCAACACGCGCAAAAATTCCCTGGCACATTCCACTGATCACCCGCGCCGTGTCTCGAAGACTCTCATTCACGCCCAGTTGAATGTCGTCATTTCCTAAGAAGAGTGCACGCCCACCAAGAAGGACAGCCGAGGTCTCAGCGGATATGCGAGTGCGAGTGCTACGCTTCGAGAACAGGAGAGCGATAGTTTTATTGAGGAGAGTAGGCGAAACCCCTGGCCTTCGCGGCTGTTCGCTGAAACGAGGACTGACCCATGGGCGAGACACTTGCTTGAGATGGTATGCATGCGCAACAAGCCGGTTGATTTGGTGGGTAGAGAGGTCGGCCAAAGTCAGCAGCCGAGGGATGTACCTTCGACCCTGGTTCATGTCAGGCTAGCAATAAAAGAGATAGAAATCTCGAGTTCACTGGTGCTGATGCTGTGATGTTCTTCGCTAGTCTGAGCCGGGCGTTACTAAACTGCAAGAGACCGTCACGGTGACTCATGCCCTAAAATTGGTCATACATACTACTTTCTTTATGAAAATACTCAAAGATATAATTAATATGATCAGGAAATACTTAAAGGATATCCTTCAAAACTGCCAAAAACAAACAAGGAGGTTTTTGTGCCAATTTCCAGGGAATATGATTCATGACATTTTCAAAGGAAATTCAATGTTGATATCTTCAAGTCTTTCCATCACATTTCAAGCGTAAATTCTCTGTTGTGTGTGCTTCGCGTCCCACTTTGACTCCAACGACTCGAATCCAACCTAGTAGTACAGCTGGCTCGCCATCATGATGCCATCGCGACAAACATATGCATAACATGCTCATATAGGAGCCTGGCTAGGCCAAGTACTGAGATGTGATCGTCACGTACGCGATGTCTGGACTCATGCATTAGCTAAAGAGAATTTCGTAGAGCAAACCTAGAACTACGCTAACGTCGACTCGATGGGCACGACTTGCACAAAAATCGTCCCGGTCAAATAGTGGTGGCAATATCTTTGATAAATAAATGAACAGAGTCGGGACGCCATACCCGCAAGTTCATGACCGTAATCATTGTCCCGTGCTCATGGAATAAGATTAATTACTGAATATATTAGCTTTCTATCGAGATAATGTTTCCTCCAGCTCCTGGTGAATAGAGAACCCAAGTCGTCTCTGTGTCTTCGATGCTCGTCTTCCACCCGTACGTCTGTAGAATGGAGTAAACACAGATGAACTTACAGCACATTAACAAGAATAGAACTCACTGTTGCTCCTGGCAGACGAATGTCTCTGGGGCACTATCCCACTTCTCGAGTACGTCTTTTCCTCTCACTTCTCCGTCACGGTCTTCGCGATCCGGAGGGCCAAATAAATCAAGCGCAAGTTGTGTATGCTTGACTCCAGCATACGTAGTAACGCAGCGTGGATTGACCATAATTCGCGCTGGCAGGAAGACGGAGTTGGGTATAGTAAGATCAATTGGGTCCTGGATCACCGGCGGGGGCGGTTCCGCAAGCTCAGGGTCAGAAGCATCATAGTCTGATCCTGCGTCAGCATCCGAATCCTCTTTGACCCTTTGACGTGGAACAAGGGGCTCTTTTGGGTTCTCGACATCACGTCTTTCTGCAGTGTTTTGTCTAGACCCATTTTCCTCACTTTCTATATCTGAGTCATAAGCACGAAGCTCCTGTCTCGCCTTCGACACCCATAGATCCCTGCAAAACCACGCTTGAGCACTGTCCAAACACTTATCGTCTGGATGCCGTACTGGAGCATCGGCAGGGGTACTTGCATTGTGGAAATGTGTGCCCGCTCGATATGCGATTCCGACATAATATGACTGAGAAGGATCTACGACGTGTGTCCCGGACTCACAGCAGAAGACTTGGAACGGGAGATGTTGCGTATAGCGTTGCGCACCGGTGACATCGCGAGGAGGAACGGAAGTAAGAGGAGAGGTGGAGATTGAAGATGATTTAGATTGGCGAAATTGGTCACCATTGATATCCCGAGTTCGCCACCTGCGTATTTGAATCCTCGTGAGTATTCAGTCAAGCCGTAAAGTGTGGCAAGGAAAAACCCACCGATCCGAGAAGATGAAGAACCCGTTATGTTCGGCCCAGTCCATTCCACATACCATAGCAGCCTCATTGGAAACGCTTAGCTTAATTGTTTCCAGGATATCGTTAGGGCAAGTAAATCCCTTGAGCCATACAACTCGATGAAACGTAATTTTGCGTTTTTCGTACAATTCATGAAGAGGCTCGAGAACTAAATTCCTGGTATATGCCTCCTCTAGGGGGTAGTAAGCCGCGACGGGATCGGTAGTCATTCCGGGGACTCTCCGTATTCGGAATGGAACACCCAGGAGAGTAAGAACTGCTTCGCAAAGGTCGGTGAGCGTCTCGGTCGAATCTGTAGAGTCGTAGTCTAGCATGGACACGAATATGTTCGAATTGCCTAATCGCCGGGCTAACTGGACGATGACGGCCAGCTGGTCTACTAAAAAATGGTCTGCGGAGTGGATTACCATGCCAATGTAGTACAAATGGTCTTGCCTGGCGAGATCTTCATATGCATCTTCGTACTTGTTCTGGCCAAATGGACGACTGAGAGTTGGACAAAGGGCAGCGACCCAGCCGTTCAAGGTCAAGAGCTGCTCAATGGACGAGATGACAGATTGCTCGTCCATAGGAGCTGTGTCATGAGCAATCACGCTGTAAAAATTGTAGTGACAGGCAGAGTCAAGATATGGGCATACTTACTATGGCTTCTGGAACCTCTCCCAAAAATCCAATACACCGTCTCGGATAGTGTCATGGAAAAGATCCTCCTTTTTGTCTCTACCCATTCGCACCTGTAGAAACTTGTGTCTTCGTGCATCTAAAAATTTGTCCGAACCCGCAACAAGATCGAGAACATTCTGTTTACGGATCTCTTGGGAATCAAAGTCATAATACGAAGAGATCTTGGACGCCGGAGACGAAGAAAGAACGATGAATCGAATGAACAAGAAGACAGCGACCAGTAGGAATATCCTGACGATGTTTCGGCGCCGTAGGAGGAAAGCCATGAGTATTAGCACGAGACCTGACAACCGAGCAACCGGGAGCGAACCTTGCCAGCAATCAATGCGGCGATGAAGAGGGGGAGAGTTGTTTCCGCCACCATCACTTCCCATATTGGCAAACTTCGATCTCCGTACCTTCACGTGGTCAGGAGAAAGTTGGAACTCTGGATTAGGCTGATTTTGTATAGTATAGACGAACAAGTTGAACACATCCAAGTAGGTAGTAGCATAGTCCAATGAGCTTACAACAGGACAGTGTCTCTTTCAACTCCTGATCAAGTATGTCACTTCTTCCTTCCACTCCTCTTCGCGCCAAACCCTTTAAATGTTGTCCCATCATCGGAATCGTCATCCACAATAGGAATTGGTGCTTTCTTCGAAGCTTGAGTGGGGTCGCGGCGAGCACTTGTGCCCTGTGTCCTTCCGGTAGAGCGTAACGTAAGGCCATCGTCAAATTCACCATCCTGACTCGCACCCGGAAACGCATCGCCATCGGACAACGGCAAATCCGCACCCAATTCCTGCCCGTCGTCCTCGGAATCGATAAAAAGTGCTTGTGTGTCCTTTCGTCCTGTTTGCCTTGTTTGTCTTTTTTGTGTCTGGCTCGATGCTGTTCGAGTTTGTGTCGTCTTCGCCGTTAGAGATGAATCATCCTCATCACTATCAGAGGCTTTCGGGGACGCTCTCCTTTTCCCCTTGCGCTGTATTTGAGTTTCAGATTTAACTTGCTGCTTTCGAACCTGAGGACGTTCTGCTACGTTGATGTCAGGCTGTGATTGCACTTGTGTCGAGTCCTTCCAGTATTCTAACGTCCATGTCTTAATAAAGCATAACTTCAACTTCAGAGCGACTCACGAGATCCTACACCATAGTCTTTATCGTCTTCAACGATTAGTTCAACAGGCAGTCTTCTATCGAGAGGCGATTTCTATCGGCAGGTGAGCATCAACTCATAAATGGAATGCGTTGACGTACCCGCTTGAACTTCTTGAAATCCCGCCTTCCTTCCCAATCAATCCTTCCCTGGCCCAGCTTTAACCCTTGCCGGCCATCCTCCTTTTTGTATACATCCATCTCCACAATTACCATGAAATTTCCTCTCAGATTTTTTTCATCACCAAAGTCATCCAAGACCGCCCACTCTTTTTGCTGCTGATCCTTATTCAATTCAGGCTTGGAGATACGCAAGTTATTAAATTCCCTGTCAAATGAATCTTCTGCTTTTTTCCCGCGCTTCGTAGTGGCAACGGCCCTCAAAAACGCCTCGTCGACATCTGGTTTGCTTAGAGCAGTGCTTGATGGCTTCTGACTCTTTTGACTCTGCAGCACCTTTGACGGAGGTTTAGCAGCAGTTTTAGAAGAAGGTTTGGAGGCTAGGTTGGTGGAGGGCTTAGGAACAGCTCGCACTATCTCTGACTCAATCGCATTCACATTCTCCACGGCGCGTCGCTTGACTCTTCCTGGTGCCTCCTCCATCACAGCATCTTCGCCAACGTCTTGGATCTTCCTCTTCAACATCCGTTCCTGTGTGGTCGAGGAGGTACCAGGTTCAATCCCTAATCCACTCATACTCTCTTCCTCCTCTTCAGCCAGTGGAGCCAACAGGACAACCTCAGCGACGCGTGACCTAGAAGCGGCCTGCGTCATACCTGTCTCGCTCTGTGTCAGGCTCTGAGCAGGCTGCGAAGAATAAGTGCCAAATTCCATCGCGCTATCAGATTGTATGATCCTCTCCGGATCGCTTTCCTCGAACAATGATTTGAATTTTTTCAGCGGCGGTTCGCTCATGCCTGGTTCTAGAGATTCAATGGTTAGGCCATAATGGTTGCTCGGGGTGGTTTGTGATGTGCCAGCGCGACGCTTCAAACGAGACCTCGGAGGCGCTGAAGTCTGAGTCTGTACAGCATGATTCGACCAATACCTTCATGTCACAGAAAATGCAAATCTTACAAGAGCATCAAATTTCACCGAGGGTTCCATAGGCGATGGAGCGACATCTTGTATTGCTTGGCTAAGGAGCAATTCACCATCAAAGTCGTCAACTGACGGATCGTCAATGCCTATGATAGGGGTTTTTGGTTTTCCAGCCCTGCGAACCAGGATCTGGTGCAAGATCAACAATAACGTTTTCGGGTAGGTTTGAAATATACACGCACTCGACGAGGCTTATGTTGCGGGTCCTCGGCGGTAACGACTTCTTCGACTATAGCCGGTGGGGGAGAGGGTGCAAGGGACGATGTACGGGAGATCGCTCTTCGCGGAAGGTTTCTCCTCGGTGCATTCTCGGCTAGTACAGGAGGAATCGATGGCTCGTCCGGGTGGGTGTTGGGCACAACATCGGGTAAAGGCGAAGACTCATGTCCAACTTGTGACCCTGCACAGTTGGTTATGAGTATGCAGATCACAAGCCAGAGGAAGTCTATAACTTGCCATGATCTTCCTGGCTATGAGCCTCGAGCTCGAGGCTGGATACGTCCGCGTTGACTATGGCTTCTATTAGTCGCTCCCTCGATGTAATGCGCAAATCAAACCTAAGAGCAGGACCTAGGTTCAGGCGACAGGGCTGACTGCAAATGAAAACCACTCTTACTTGGAAGCGTCATCGATTATTGCCTGCCACCCATCGTCCCCCGCTACCGGCTGAATGGCACTCTTATCTGCAATAATCACCAAAGTCTTCCCCTTTCCTTTTCCTTTTGCCAGAACAGAATGCATACTTCTCTCACCCCCTCCTATAGAAAAGCATTCATATTCACCTTCACTTTGTTTGACAAGCGCTCTCATTGCTTCTTGGATTTCTCTTCCCTTCTCAACAACGAAGATGAATCGAAAGCCACGGAATAGAGCCACCCGTGCCTCATTTTGTCCCCACTTTCCGAAAGTTCTCAGGGAGATTGGGAGGGAAGGTGAGAACGAGGGGTAGAATTTGTGAGTGGGTGGTAAGGAAAAAGACTCTTCAAGAGCAGATGGCGCTGCATTAGTGGACGAGCCCAGACGGATCACTTCAGTCAACCATTCAGGTCTAACAATGCATGCGACAGCGACTAGCGAGGCCGCTAAATCAGGTGTGAGCGAATACGTTGGGGTAAGGTGATGGGTAACGTCGGGCCGATGAGCAGGAGTCATACATATTCCTGTTCTATGTCAACGAGGAAAGTACAAGGGTCCATTATAACGACGCCCACCTAGTTCCGAGCAATCCTGGAGGGAGAAGGATGGCATTGCAGGAGAAGGCGGTCTATAACAACAGACCTTAACCCATTGGACTCTGAGACGTGAGTGAACATGCATTCAGTCAAATAACAATAAATGGGGCAAATCACGGACTGACGTTACTGTGACACCTGTCACCATATGCACGACATCCCCATGCTGGAGATCCGCTACTTCTCCTGGATTGATAACATATGGGTCGTCCTTCCCAACGCGAATCATGTGTCGAGAGATGGTTTTCTTAGATTCTGACTTGAAGAACTCGAGAGTGAGGCTGGGGATAAAAGCTGGATTCGTCTAGTATAGTAGTATGGTCTTCAGTTTCAAACTTAGCTAATCGACCACTCGAGCCACGTACCGCGTCCTCAATCGAGCACTCTGCTACAACAAATTTGGCGTGTTCTCTGGATATCTTCTTGTGTCCGAGAACGAGAGGTTGGTCCTTCCGCCCTACTATATAAGTTTTACCCGCTTTCAGAAGTTTGGACCCTAAAGTGGTCAGGGCGAATGAGAAACAGTTGGTTACGGCTGACAGGGTACTTACGATGTGCCTGGGGCTCTTCTAGGCAGGCATCATCGAAGGGACCAGCGAGCACCCACATGCAAACGTCGCGAAGATTTTGAGCCCGGTAGTGGGCAAGCTTTTGGCCCTGGGCCACAGACACTTTGGGATAGTAACGCGAACGCGTCGGACGCGTACATGGGCACGTGCCACTAAGTACCAGTGAGTGCCACGCTAATTTAAGTCGATCAGGCAGACACTAGTTACTCATTTTCGAGGAAGTAGCCTTCTAAACACTTCGAAAGAAGGTTCTTCTGTTATGCCCGGGATGAACTCAATCGAAAGCGCTGATGCCTATTTATCATACGTTTTATCGTATGGAACAAGCCTCTTGTTACAATTATGGGATGCAATAAGAATACACGCACATCGTATAGCAGAAGGGTCGACGAGAGTAATCCAGACATTGATTCTACTATTATTACCCCAGACACGTCCTGTCAAATCATGAAGAGTCCACTGTTTGAGGTAGTGGCGTGGAGGATGCAGGGGGTGCGGACGAGTTGGATGAGGCTGGTACAGAGGGTGTGTTGAGCACTGTCCTTTGCGGCTTATAGTACGGAGAAGGCCATGGTTGCCCGGCACCGCCAGGAATGGTCTGAGCCGGCCCATGAGGGTATGCCCCATAGTAAGGAACGGTTTGCGTCGCAAGGGCATTGGATGTACCTGCCGTGTCCGCAGGCGCACCTGCTTTGGGACCCACGTACGGCTGCTGCCATTGTAGCTCGCGACTATTTTGCGCCTGCGACTGGTAACTATAACCATATGCAGAGTATGGTGTGGCGTTTGGATATACAGATTGGTTGCCGTACGGATAATTGTGTGCCGAGTACCCAGATGCGTTAAACTGAGGATTTGCCTGGTTGTAATGATACCTCCAATTTGCCGCGCTATATTGGTATGTTGGAGTCTGAGAGTACTGCGAAGGCGTATAGGGGCGCTGAGCAACCGAAGATGTCGATGCTGATGCTGATGGTGCTGTGGTTGCTGTTGTATTTAGCACCGTACCAACAGGCGTGCGTGAATTGGCTGCAGGAGTTGGCGAGCAGAATGCAGTTTTAGGTGGCGCCAGCGGCGGTGCAAGCCCTGCAGCATAGAAATAGTGTTAGAACAAATCAACAGAGCACGCAATGTGAACTCACGTTCGGGTTCTGCTGCAGGCTCAGTAGGTTTCTGGCCAACAGCCAATCCCTCAGTATTGCCAAACACCACGCTGCCCCACTTGAATTCTCTCTTCAGACCACGGTCCCATAGAACCTCAACGGCACACGATTCCTCGATGACACGCACAAGTGAGACCTCGAATACACCAGCACTGACGCGTAGCTTGATTCGCGACATAGGGGGAAGCGATAGCAGATCGTTGCGGATCTTGTCCTGTTTTACTGCGCGCTTGGCATCTGCGACAGCCTAGGATGGATCAGTCAGAAACCATGAAATGGGTATGATGCACCAGATCTTGAAGAACTTACAGGGTTATGCTGGGAACATAATACTTGGACTTCTATCTTCCTGATGAGTTTCAGGACTCGGGGCGCTACAGCATCAGAAGGACCATCATTAGATCTCATGCATGCCGTACTTTCCACCTCCATTGGGTTGGTAGTAGAACTGTCTGTAATAGAATCGCCAACTACAGCAGGCAATTTCTCTTCCAGAAGTTGTCCTGCTGGTGTAGTCGCATGAGGATCAAGAAGAACGACCTCCTTCTCCACTTCCCGAAGCACCTTGTACACAATGTTGTTGTCGCTCCCATCTCGCGCACAAGAGACATGAAAGGCCTTAGGGCATCTACCCTTGGTACACTGTATAGGAGCGCCATGGGCCTTATGTCGCGGTTTCGTACAGGCGGTGCATTTCTGGACACAATAATCGGGATGATGTTTCAATTTGCATATAAACCAAACTTAACTCACCAGATTCCAGCGGTCCTTGACGATCGCGTCTACACCAAACACCACGCGTTCCTTCACTCTCGCACCGTCAGCTTCATCTCCAGCAGTCTCAATCTCATCCACCCAGGTCTCTGGAATGACGTTGGCACAATTCTCGTGCGCCATCCAGACAGTACGCTTGAGACTTGCCCCTGGACTGTCATTTTGCAATCGCCATGCTGGAGGATCGTGCACTCGTAGCAGCGTCTCCTGGCTCATACACACACACAAGCAACATGGGAACGCCTCAGGCTCTTTCGGCTTCGGTCCAAGCTTCAGAATCACTTTCGGAGGACTGGATTTTGACTGCTTAGGGGACGAAGTCGAAGGTCCACTTTCATCTAAGGTAGATCCTGAGGGTCTCTTTTTCTTCGGTCTGATCGGACTGTCATCGCCTATGGCTTTCCGCTTTCGAGAAGAGCTCGGCTTCCCACTCTTGCTCGCCTTGGAATCTGGACGAGGTCGGCGAGACTGGCTATTCTCAATCTGAGCTCGCTCAGCCTCTCTATCCCGCAAAAGCTGATCAACATCGATTCGCACACTTGCAAGAGAAAAGTTATGATAAGCTCGAGTAATCGACGTCAGTCCAGAGCACATATATCTTACCTGAAATTCACGCAGCCACATGCTTTAGCTTTGCGTCCAATGTCAATCCAACTATCCAGAGCGAAATTAACACTCTCCGCGCAGTTGAAGCCAAGATTGAACCCCGCGTGATATCCCATAGGGAAGGTTATGACAAATTCGCCCGCATGTTGTACCAGAGTGTTCGGACGACATGATGAACCCGATAAGAGTGTCGGCGATGCCAAGAAAGACTTGTGCCTCAAAAACTGAGCACAATTTGAGACATCTTTGGGAAAATAACCTAGGACATCGACGATTAGCCCCTGACTAGTAACTTCGTCGAAGATCATTACCTCTCATCGTCTGCTCAAGCGCAGCTGCCCTGGCTTGAGGCATTGCGTACCAGAATTTCGGTGCCCCAAAGTGCACATAGTTAATGCTGAATAAATCCATATCCTCCACGTGCCAGGCGAAGGTGGCTCGCCACATGCCAAAGTACAAGTAGGGAGTATTGACTCCCGGAAGGCCCTTCGACGAAGCAGGCAGCAAACGACTCAGAGCAGATTGTAGACGAGCCACATTCCACGACGTGGTCTCCTCCGTAAAGAGCGATCCTTGATATGACTAGATGTTAGTGGGAGATAAACGCGAGCTATGACCTATCACTCACCGGCTAGATCGGCACCATACCAAGCAGATTTGCCGAGTCCACAATTCCTCCAATACCGTCGTTCTAATTCTCTGCAGAAGGCAGGAGTATAATCAAAAGATGTGGTATTAGGAGGAAGCCAGTCCGAATGTGGATCAAACGTCTCCAAGAACGTTTTATCCTTGACCGCTCTTTCAGCTAGATTGGCCTCCTTCGTTTGGCGAGTCTGTGGTATACGCCGCCCTTTGACTCGGGGTTTTTCGTCTTCGGCCTCTTCGTTCTTGTCGTCGCTCTCGAAGGGCTGCTGAGGAGGGGCAATGCCGTTATCTGCATTCTCTTCTCCACCCGCGGGACTAGCAGCATTCAGGTATCCTTCTGCGTCACCAACCGTCGCCAGAGGTATTGCTGAAGTACCAGAAGTGTTTGGTGGCGAGGAAATAAGAGATGTTGACCCGCCGTCACCAATGAGGTTGCCCACGCCTTCCTCTTCCTCCTCCTTGATGCTACTTGTGCCAGGCTCGGGCTCGGCAGTCTCCGACTCCCTCTTCTTACGCGCCCTGCGCGTTCGCGGCTTCACACTTCCGTTCGTCGCGCGTGCATGCAGCCCAATATCATCAACACCAGGGGCACGTAGTTCATCTTTCGCGCAGAGCTCGGCCCATTCTCGTATGCTTAAATTGCGCCGCCTCTCGACGTTCTCCTGACGGAACAAGCCGCCGCGACCGAACATGTGTTGCTCGATAGGACTCTTCAGCTTCACTTGAGCAAGCTGGTCAGTGAGGGGTGGCAATGCATCGGTCCTGAGCGGGACGATCAATTCAACGCATCCTCACAACAATAAGGCTACAGGACGAACCACTCCTTCGGTGGAATGACTTTCACAATACCACTTCGCATCCCCCAACATTCGATTCTGTTCAAGTACGCCTCGAAGTCTCTAAACTCCTCCATCGTCGGTTTGAACACGGGTATGCCGCGCTGGGCTAAAGGATCCTGCGCCGGATCGAGCCAGGTTCTGCCCCCCGAGTCCGGCGACGGAGGTAGTGGATTGGCATTCTCCGAGCCATAAAAGTGATCAGGTTGTACTGGATACTCTGGGGACGAGGAACGAGACGTTGGTGACGGTGTGAGAGAGGGGCTGCGATCTGAACCACTGGACATTGCGAGAAAGACAGGATATGCGTGAGTACGACAAGGTGGCCGCGGACAGATGTGTCCGGAATCTCAGAGTGACGCAAGACGGCCTGAAATTGATATATAGCTAATGTAACGGGGCGTGCGCAAGCAAATTGTCGAAAGCGAGTGCGATAGTCGCAAAATATGGCCAGCGGGGAGGCGATGTTGGTCGTCGAGACTCAGACTCGACCTCGTCCCGGATTCCAGCCACAGTGCTCGGCGCGCGACCCATTCCCATATGGAGGCAAACTTGCCCTGAAGTTTTGGAGATCGGCAATGCTTAATTTCACGCTATCCTATTGACAAATGGGCGATAACATACAACTATAACAATGGTTAATTAATGTAACGAGGCTGAAAATATTTTCTGCACTTTAAAGTACAAGGCTATCAACACAGCCATAAGTAATCGGGAATTCTACATTTCACAGGACGAGGATATTAGAGTCCAATTTGCGACGGGAGAAGTCCTCAGCGCCCTCGAGAAGTATGAGAGAGAGATGAACCACATACAAACATCTCAATGTAATAGACAGCGATGCAGGGTTCGTCACAGCGTATATGAGTATACATCCGAGCGCACCAGACACCTCAGTGGGCCGTACACCAATTCGTCAAGTCGCGTGGACCGAATCGCGAGGTACGTCATGACATCAGCGTCTTCCCGACGAGAAAGCAATCAGCTTTCGCGGTGATCTTCGTTCATGTTCACGCTCCCAGAAGTTCCGGCCCCAGAACGATCCAGATAGGGCGGCGGCAATTCTTGCACAACTCCTCCGTCCCGATGTTGGATGATAATATCCGGTTCCGCATCGGAGTCGAAGGCCAATCCACTGATATTCAGCGTGCTGTAGCTGCGCTCAAGTGCCACCCGAGGCTGTCGGTGATCAAGCGCCGGCACTCTCAGCTCGGAAAATAACAGAGGTGGTAGCTGTGGCATCGCACTGGGCGCTGTCGAGTTTGGCGACAATGGGTCCGCTCTGTTTCGGCGGCGTTTTGAGGGTGGGTCAGGAGACGACGGAGGTGAAGCTGGAGGAGATACGTGTGGCGTTGAAGATGTCCTCACATGTCGGTATCCATCTGCACCAGGTAAAGACAGCACAGGAATATTTGACGGACCCCTGGCAGCCATTGTCATGCTGCTGGCTGCCGAATTCGACTTCAGATATCGGTAAGGCTCTTTCCTTTGAGGAACTTCGGCGGGATCCTGATTGGGCACGACCCAGCTTCGTGCCATAGTGTCTTGGTCATCCCAGATCCCAGTCGGCAACGACCTCCTACGTCTCCTCCACCACCAAGCCCCGAGAGCCATGATGATACATGGCAGCCCCACCCCAAGAACTATGCCGATGATAAGGTCCCTGCGATGGCGTTCGGCGGCCTCGGCGGCGGCCTTCGCACTAGCAGCAGCCTGTGCAGCGATCTGAGCTGATGTTGAAGCCGAGGATCGTAGACCAACGCAATCATTGTTGCTTGAACCTACTGTGTTTACGATTGAGGTGGCGTAACCCCATCGGTCGTTGCTTGAGTGGCAAGACAATCAGCTTAGTGGACCAGAAAAACCTCTGGAATGCTTACGCGTCGACTACAGCGGCTAGATTGGGAAGCGACTTAGTACACTCCATTTTTGACAACATTGAAACCCACGCTCACCAAGGATTTGACCATTCGGATTAGCTCGATCAATGTAGGTGAAGACGTTGAACCCTTGGGCCATCGAGATATTCGTGGTTACAGGAGAGTCGAGGGCGGCGAGTACAACGCTATAAGGTTGTGTCCCATTTGTGATGGTCAAACCCCACGGCTCGCATGTCGTCAGAGAATCAGTGACATTAGATGCAATGTGTGGTGGATTTGACGGGGCAGGCGGAATGCATGACGTATCACTACCGGCTGCAGGACGTCAGTCAATAGAATCCTCTGTAGTGGGGTAATCTGCTTGCACCTGTAACATTAAATAGGGTGGGTGAGATACCTCCTGCACTACCGTTCGAATCAACCATAGACAACATCAACGCGGATTCTACACACAAGTTAGGACCCAGGAAGTACTTTTATAGGGAACGCACCTCTACGATGACCAACCTGCCACCTTAACTGAGATGGCTCGGATCCAATCATGCTCGTTGTAGGAATGCCTCCCGCTTCAAACGCGATCAGGTAATACGGCGGAACACCCAACTCTGAGGCGTTGTTCGTGATTGATTCAACCACGATACTCATGTTCTGGCACTCCTGCAGCTCAGAAAGGATGAACTGAAACAATCTGTGAGCATGCGCCTGGAGGCGACGATGGTCAGGCCCTGCATACATTATTACCGAACGTCCATTGAAATGCTCGTGACTGGGCGCGACATTGTGTAATAAGTAGGTGCGAAGCAATGACAAGGAAGAGCAGCCTGAGTAGCATGGAGAACCAGGGTACTTTATGTCCTACTGTAGAGTCCTACGAGTGAGCGACGAGGAGGCGAGGAGGAGGTCGTCCGACAAGCGTGTGCCCGGAAGATAAACCGAGCGAGGCCTAGCAGGAGCGCCAGACGCCTTATGACCGGGTTCCTGGTTCATACGCCGATGCGATGTCGGGGAAGCGATGTCATCCGCGGCCCCGGAAGCGCATCGTAGTTTCTACTACTACCGACTTGATTAGAGCAAGATCCAGATGTAATATACCACGACTACTGAATTTACAAACCTTGTGTGGCTAGTCTCCGTTCCCATAGCACATCACCGGACTGAGAGGAATGCAGAAAACTGATGCAACGTTGGAAGCAAACCTTAGCATCCGGCTCGCTTGGAAGCGGCGGAAGTAGCATTCCAACGTTTGGCGCCTGTGCGCCGTGACGCGGTCCCGATCGATCCTGCCAGGTCCAGGCGCAGAGATTCTAGTGGACGCCTTTGCCTGGTCGTGACCCAGCCGCCGAAGATAAGTACTGGAGGCGTATTTCCTACCCCTTTTCAGATTCTGCATTTGACATGGATGAACATGAGAGCCTAAGGGCAAGTCAATAAAAAAACACCAGACCCATCGCAGTGAGCGTATACTACTCTCAGTCTTGCTGGCGCTCTTGCTCTTCTCATGATCGGGTTCATCAATCGTAGCCGTCTCCGCTCCACCGATGTCAAAATTGGCAGGAAAATTATACATGATGTGATGCTGTGCGCTCTCCAGACTGGTGATGGCCCTATCTATCTCCTAGTACAGTCGCCAAGGATGTCATCTCAAAAGTCGATGAGCTCTGGTATCAACTGAGGTGAATCCAACCTTGCTATGCGCCACCGCAGTCAACTGCACCTCGAGAGTAGAGAATACAACGGAAGCACAACTCACTTCGAGGCCGATTCAGCGTTATTGCGAGCGGTAGTGATAAACTCACGCAGAGAACGAGGGCGTAAATCACACATCACTATCCGTTACGTACGCCCCCATCATTATGGTCCACACTCGGGACCAAAACCTAGCCGTTCGTTGATCAGCACTCTGCCCAGCTTCATATTGACGTTAGACAAGTTCATGATATACGCTGTTGCCGCTGTTGGTCGATGGGCTTGTACAAACTGCTGGTAGCAGTGTTAGACAGGGTCACCAAAAGTGTCGGACCCTAATTGCGGGACGTATGAGTTCTCTGTGGACGCTATCTCGATTCTCGAGATCCACTACAATGCATAGCATTGCATCCCGACCTTCGTTTTGTTTACCGATCGGACTTCAAGGAAGACGCTACCAAGGCACGAACGTTCCTCATTCCCAGTTCTCAGTATTGGAAATAACATACAATTTGGCTACGGGTGAAAGAAGTGCGTGATAAATCGCGTCCATTGACTCAACGGCGAGATGTCGAATTACTCACGATTCGCTCAGCATAATCTGTGCAGTCAAAGGATACATTGATGCGCACGAGAAGAGTCGAACCAGAGTCCTACTAGAACAAGCTGCATAAGTTGACCGCAACTTGAAGGATGACACAAATCATGGATCCCAGTACTCACTGTGAGAAGCTACACCTCTTTGATATGCCGTCCTATAATTAGGATCAAAGTAAATTCTTAAAAAAGTACATGGTTGGTTCAACGGCTTCGATGAATTTCGAGTACAAAAGGTCGGCCAAGCATCACCCCCATGGCCAAGCTGTCGAAACTTTTGAGGCGCTATCGACGCGTCACGCTTACGTAAAGCGCGTCGACGCGCGTACTGCAGGCCCTCACCTCGGCCTACATACTTCAGATTATACCTACCATCCTGCTGCTCTCATTTCGCCATGGACCATTTTCCATCTGCTTGGGGCCGTCCGGTACGATTCATGTACTTGTGCTGCTTTATTTACTCAATGTTTCCCAGAGAAACGACCAGAATGACATGTACAACACATATCCTATCCACCAACGCCCGTCCAGTCACACAAACACCTTCACTGAGGGCGTGCAGCGTACACAGTGAGTGATCTGTTGATTATACGTAGTATCCCACTGATTCTGTTTCAGGCAGCCCATTGTCACTGGTACCAGTGTCCTCGCAATCCAGTACAAGGATGGGATTATGATGGCTGCTGACAATCTCGGTATATTCCTTTGATCTTGCTTCAATATCCAAGCTATACTTACTGATGCCGACCCCTAGCATCATATGGCTCTCTTGCACGTTTCAAGGACATACAGCGTCTGCACCCAGTTGGCCCAAGCACTGTCATCGGTGCCTCAGGCGACATGTCCGATTTCCAACACCTACAGCACACCCTTGATGCTCTCATTACGGACGAATTCACCCAGTCTGACGGTGAGGCCAACGCTCTTGGTCCTGCGGAGGTCCATGAGTATCTCTCTCGCGTTCTATACTCAAGGCGTTCGAAAATGGATCCTATTTGGAACGCCCTGCTAGTGGGCGGTCTACAAGATGGAAAACGGTGCGTTTATGATCATATACTAGTACGTTATCACCTAAACGCAAGTATTTTGGACCAGATTTCTGGCATACGTTGATCTCCTGGGAACTACCTATTCAGCACCTTCTATAGCTACAGGCTACGGCGCTCACATCGCCATTCCTCTCCTCCGAGATGTGGTTGATGGGCACCAAGATACGCTCACTGAAGAAGATGCCCGTCAGCTCTTACATGACTGTATGCGCGTGCTCTACTATCGTGATGCACGTAGTTTGGACAAGGTAAGTCTCGAATTCACTCACTGCTTTTGCGATCGTGTACATGCGGCAGAGCAACAGCTTCACTGCATCGTATTCCATATCGCTAGTAATATGGCTACTGGATGCTTCAATCGCATACTGATATGTTCATTAGTACCAACTTGCTACGGTCACAGCCACGGGCGTGTCCATCTCCGATCAGATAAAGCTCGACACAACCTGGGCTTTTGCCGAGGGCCTTCGAGGTTACGGTGCACAGACGCAATAAACAACTTGGTGTCGTTGACTTTTGGTCACAGCAAGGAGTGGTCTGTCGTGACATGTGTAATACTACCCATAATACACTGGATAAGTAACCGTGCCCCACACAGTTATTGATTTATCCCATTTGTCGTCCTATGGATCCCATTCCAGAGATACGTAGGGTAGAGTGAGTGTTCAAACTTTCACATTACACTGAGTGCGTTGGAGGATTTCGGTGCGATGCGAGTCTTCAGCCAAATGTTCTTGCGGAGTGAGACAGGTCACACCTAACGTTCGATGGAATCTAGTAAGGGCCCCGCGAATATATTCACTCTGACACTAATGCAGTATAAGCAACGAAGAACCATAAGAAAACTAGTCTCGCAAACTACATCACGGACATCCGCTCAGCACATAGTATAAGCCGCAGCGAGTGCAGCGCCATGGCGTTATCTACACCTACACCTTATTCTTCTTTATTTTACGGACGTTTTTCTCATTGGAGACAGCCTCTTCTGAGCCTCTCTTGCGCTTCGCTTGTGCCCGTGTCAGAGCGCGCTTCGTCTCGCCATCTGGGAGAGCGCTCAAGTCAAAATATGTTGACGCCATTTCCAAAAGCCTGCACCAAGGATATCAACGAACGTCATCAGAGCATAGAGACAGCGTGGAGTCAACATACCACTCTGGGCGGACATCCGTCACAGTACGGATGTATGGCTTCGTCGTGAGGACAAATTCATTGAAGATAACCCATTCCGGCTGCGTGTCCAACCCGCACG